TACTCTTCTCGTCAGCATTCTATTGTTTGAGAGCTGCAAGCTGCAAGCAAGTAATTGAATTCCCTACAAAAAATACCACTAAAAACTCCAATGTTTCAAGTTCTTACTATTGAAGTTTCTCAGAGACAAATATCTCAGATTTCAAAATATTACTGGGAATCGAGAACTGGGAGAATGTATACAAAAAAACATGTCCAAACGAAGCATATAATAGATTTCGTGAAATTCTTCAATAATACATTGAGTTACCGTTTCCACTCAAACAAACAAAGAAAGTCAACTCTAACCCCTTATCACCGAACTATATAACATAGAGAACATGGTTTTTATATATTCAGAATGCACGAGAGTGAAAGATAATTTCAAAGACATATGTCGCCAATTAACTATGACATACAGGAATAATCAAAGATGCATTGAGCATAAGATAAATAGTTCTCACAATAAATAAAAAACAATGTGGCAAACTATAAATAATATCCAGAAAAAACTATAAGCCCAAAGATATTTCCATTTTCAGTGGAGAACATAAGGTGTCATGTGTTGACATGGCTAACAATTTTAATGCACATTTCACTCCACACACAGTGGAGTAAGTGATCATTGGGTCAGATAATCATGTTCCCTGAGCAAGCGCAGTGGGCCAAGAATGGCAGCCTTCTGCATCTGTCCGGCTAAGATTTCTGCCTTAGTGCGGCAGGCCGGTATGATTTTGAGATTCGAGAGTAGAGAGGGCTACATTCCACCAAGGACTCCAATAATCAGAACAACCGTCTTGACAGAGTGGTCTGGATAAAGTCTGCGGAGTTTAAAGGGAAAACCTCGATATTTTATCCGTTTCTCCTCCTCTTTTCGGACGATATTCGTCTCGCCAGGAGCTGAAAACTCTACGTCTTGCTCTGGTAGTTGAGAAGGTGCTCTGGTAGTTGAGAAGGACTACATCATGCTTATTAGCTTGTATGAGCCTGAGGGTGGGGAACGAATAGTTCCAATAAATTCGGCACTTCTCGTTCCCCATAACGGATTCAATATCCCCCGTAGCGTAGGGCAACACCGATGTCTCGTCAATACCGTACGAGTGCCGTAGATGGTAATATAGCACTCTAAGGGCCGCGTTATGTCAATGAATATAGGCCGAGACCACATATGCTGGACATGCCGATAGCAAGTGCATTAGGATCTCTGGCGCCTAGCGGCAGGCCCGGTATTTTTATTATTACTACGATTATTATTTGTTCCTAAAGAATGTTTCCTTTCATGTAATTCAATGTTTATGTGAAAGAAGCTGTTTCAGGAGAGCTTTTTCTTCCAGATTGTGTCTAAATGTTACTTCTTTGCATGATCTACACATCTTTGTATAGAGTTCTTCTTTTGAAATTAATTGATTTCTTCCTTGCTTCGGAAGATTTCCACATTTTTTTCTGTATCAAGATGGAGTGGTAGGAATCCAAAAACTTTCTTTCTCAAAAAAAGTTGTCACTCCTAAAATAACCCTTTCAATTTAAACAAGATTCCTTCTGGCTGGGATTCAATGAATGTCATTACGATGTCGATGTCAGTAGATCAAACTTATTCCGTGACATAAAAATCGTAATTTATGAATGAATTGTGTATTTTTTTTTATATTATCCAGATTGGTACTGAAGAGCCCTAAGACAAGTGTGTTACGGTGAAACATCGATATCTACCAGTGAGGATGACAATGTTCCATGTAAGTGACAGATGGTATATTGTGTTTGTCCTACATAACATTCTGGACAATCCTTGCAGTTAATTTCATAAACGACGTTTAATTGCATATTCAAACGTCCCGTTTGCCCTACATAACATTCTGGACAATCCTTGCAGTTAATTTTATAAACGACGTTTAATTGCATATTCAAACGTCGTTTAAAAAATTAACTGCAAGGATTGTCCAGAATGTTATGTAGGGCAAACAGGACGTTATTTAAAAAAACAGGTTGTCCAAACATGAAATAGATACAAGGAAGTTGAATGTTGCCAATCCAACAGCCCTCGTTGAACACACAAGAAAAAACAACTACAGTTTTGACTTTGCAAACCCCAAGATTTCAGATATTCAACCTTTATTAGGTGAACGACTGTTTAGTGAGATGATCCACATTTTCAAACAAAAAAGTGTTAACACTAGAAGGGACATAGAAGGACTGAATAGTGCTTATGGTAATTTACTAAATCGTATTCCTAAATATTTCAATACACATGAGTTTCCACCATCCTGTGTAATCTGATATCTTTCTATTGTTTATAATTTTTTTTAAGACAAACAAAAACGTCCATTCCTAAACAGTTTGTCTCCCTTGATATCGTTTTCATTTTTAACGTGTCTGTGGTGTATGTGTTTTCATTTGGTTAGTCCTCCTTTTCGTTTGTACTTATATTGTCTGACACATATATTTTAAACGTTTTTTTGACATGGACAACTAATGTTTGGTAAGTGCACCTGTTTGTTTCTCTTTTACATAATATAGGATTGTATAAACTTCATGAATTTTGCAATATGTATTGGCATATACTGTTTACTTAAAAAATTATTCTATTATAGAGCCCTGATGATGGATTTAATAAAGTCCAAAACGTTGGCATAAAACTAAATTGTTTATCTACGAACATTTTTTATCCCTTTCCCAACCAATAGAAAAAACACCTTTGAAAATATTTTTGAATCATCAAACCAGGCGAAGTTAATAATTATAGTATAAATTGATACCAGTTTTATTGAAACTCTGCGTTTTAATTACTGCCGTGAAAAGCTTTCTCAACAATTGATAGCCGCTACTGAACGATTTCTTTTTGTTTTATCGCTGAGTCGTCCAAAGCCTACCTACTTGATCAAAGTGTGCGTTTCAAAGTCTACATGAATAAACCTGAAACCTCTGTATTTCAAAGATGACTTTAGCAGAACATCAATTGTGCTACATTTTTGGACAGGTAATTTCAAGCTCTATTGAAATATGTAGGAATATACAGGATGTCCCATTGAAAAAAAAATGTTTTTCATTCATAACTATCGATATCTTATTTGAACAAAATATTTTTACACGATTGAATTCTACTTTATAAAATGCTTTGAAAATGTTTTCATAGAAACAAGAAATTTTTGACATGTTGTAAATGCTGTAAACCATGATAGATGTCGATATGCGGTTTTCACCATCAAGTTTCTCTTCATAAGCTGGTGGGGATCAATTTGTGACGGATGATAGCAAAAAAAAGCTATCACTGTGGCATTGCAGGCGGCATGTAATAGTTTGGCCCACTCTGTACATGAAGACATACATTGTTGAATATTCAGATACAAACAGCAATATACAAAGCAAATACCTCCCTAAAAACATATGTGAATACTACTATAATAGGTACACAAATATCTTGGCAACTATATGAAACATTTTATGGTTAGCACTTGGCTAGAAGTATAATAATAATAAATAGTAGAAATAAATAAGAAATCATATGGAAAAGGAATAACTTACTTTATGTACTTGAACATTTTTCCATACTCAAACTTTTTTTTCAAATGGATCACTATTCTATGTATACAATGACTAGTGAAAACCATTAATCAATGTGGTATTTTCAAGCATTATTGAAAATGGAAGGACTCCAATTCGAACATTTACTGCGCCAATAATACTTTTGTGTATATAAATTACTTCATTTCAATTTTCATTACAATTATAGTGTTCGTTTCGGATAGTATTATTGCTATCATTTTTTTTCTGCCTATCAAAACACATATAATATATTTTTCATGTAGATATGTTTCAAATAATCATAAAAGGTTGTCCTATTCGAAGTTCGTTGTATAAAACGCTCAGAGCAATGGAAAAAATATGAATAGATACCTAAAAATGAAAAAAAAACTCTCGAAAAACTCTACGATACATAGGGAGACGTGAAAGTTGCTATTAGTTTTTATTCAACTCAGTCAACCAATTTCCAGGGCCGTAATTCAAAAGGGAACAATTCATACAATTATAATCGAATATTATCGAAAAATACCGAAATATAAAATTGAATTCAATTTCTCAGTATGGAGTGAACGTCTACGATCCAAAAACTACAATAAAAAATACAGGTCCGTATTTAAAAAATCAACGATGGGGTGGCCCAAGTCCGATGACACCCTGTATGAAAGATTCATGTATATATCCTGAGAGCCCACATCAAGTGCCAATAGCAAAATTTGGACAGATTTCCAATGTCTGCGAATAAAGAAGATATAGGCAGAAAAATAATTTGGGATTTTTTGGTTTTTCCTGTATAACTCCTGAACCAAAACAGCTATATTCGATTTCTTTACATCATTGAATAGGTCTCTAAAATACACAACTTTGCCACAATTTAACCGACACTCTATCTCTTATCGTTTACGAATTTGAATATATATAAGTATATAATAATAATAATGTTTATTTACCAAAGAATTTATACATACTCTTTCAATTCATTATTGAAGAATGCGAGTAAACAAATACAGAGAAAATCCACAAAGGCTAACCTGCGCGTGGATCACTAAGGTTATTATACAATGAATTCTAAAATAAGTAACTAATTATTTGTATATATAGTACATTTATAAAATATTGGATAAAATATCGGAAAGCAATTAAATAAATAAATAAAATATATGAAATAATTTCACGATAGTAAACAAACACAAACACAATCACATAATATCAAAATACTAATGAGGAAATAATGAAGAAAATCGATAATACTAATTACATACATATATATAATTGATATGCTGAATGGAATTTATAATTTATCAAATGATACACAAGTAGATACGATTTTAGAACATGGATACATTTCAATTTGCATTTTTGAGGTCTATCAAACAGTGTTATCTCATTTCTTGGTTTCATTTTGATCCATTTCTTGGCTTCCCGCTTAAATAGGGACAGTAAATTGAGATTCTTAATTTCAGTTGGAATTTTATTGAATAGTTTAGGAGCAAGANATATGTCGCTACCAGGCCTAAATGATTAAGAAAATTGTTCCTCGTCAACTCGAAGAAACCGCCAGCACTCAAAACTACAGGGTGGTCTTTAAGGAATTCCGTAAATAAAACGAGCTCCTCCCTGCATCTTCTGGAGATAATTTTTCCTTTCCGAAGAAAACAAGTTCTCAATAACCTTCTCCCCTCTCTCATGGTGTCGTCGCAATAGATTATCGCGTAGAACAAACCAAACTGAAACAATAAAACATTTTGACTATATAATTATTGGCAAAACGAAAACAAGAATACCAGATGTCAACGAATTCATTCGACAAGTCATAACTTCACAACATCAGTTGTCTCCAATTGAGATTTGGTATATATAGGTGAATGTCATGTAAACGGGAGAGTTTTGTATATTGTTCCTTCTCAGTCACTTTCGAAAATGGCTCCGTTCTTGCATTTTTTAATTGTATACCAACACAAAACGATCACTTGGTGATCGAAACACGTGTCGAGGTGTTAAAATAACGGTTTCGTGTTGAGAAAAGTATCATTGTATTACTTCACCAAAGGTTCCAAACGGTGCATCACATTTGAGTTGTGATGTCCACAATAAAACCTAACTCGCTTATCCATTTAAAATTAGATAGTGCTTGCATAATATTTTCTTTCTCTGTCAAAAACATTTCAATTTCTAGTCAATCAACTCTAAAAATCTTTTGAAAACTTTTTCACGGCTGAGCCATCTCATTTCAGAAAAATAAATGTCATAGAAGGAATTTGCTACAATATTCATAACATTTTCCAATTTACAACTTTTGCGTAAAGTGTAGGTTGATGGGTAATACAATGAAGTTGCAATGGAGACTGTGTAATATTTGATTCTCTCAATCTTTAATAATCATGCCTACTGTGTTATCATTTACCACACTATGAATGCTATTTATAAACTTTATTTACATACTTGTTTATAATAATATACAGCATCGATCTTATATTTTATAGTTCTTAATATCATGCACGTGTTTAGTCTCACCAAACAACGCCAACATCTCTGTTCTTCCGTCAGTGTCAACTGTCATTTTATAGTACATATTTTAGCGGCACCAACCGTAAAGTACTATGCATATATACTACACCTCTCTCTTTTAAGCTAAACTCAGCCTAATCATTTACAATATACATTTATGCAATATTTGAATTCAGTAGTTAGTCCAATACAAAATCTAACAATTTTTGTGGTTGTATTGTACTTCGCTAGGTCTTCGCTATGCCCCTTATGTACTATATTGGATTTGCAATCTAATTCAGGAGGAGTACTCTTACTTTTCGTGTCTTTTATCAAGAACTTTATGTTTTTTTCTATTACTCTACCATTATTAAGTTTGACCAAATAAGTTCCAGGTTTCTCTAATTTATTTAGGATTCTACCTGGGACCCATTGTGATTTATCTTGCTTTTGAATCCTTACTTTTTCCCGTTCCATTAATCCTGGTAAATATCTAACATGATTATCAAAATTTAATTTTTGTCTGTACTGCCTATTTTTGAAACTATTTACAATTGTGTAATCTTTTTTTGTCAAAGATATTAACTTCGGGGAGTAAACTTTTTATTTTTCTGTTAAATAATAATGTAGCGGGTGATGGAATGTCATTGTCGATAGGTGTATTTCGATATTGAAGAAGGCAAAGGTATGGATCCTTGTTATCATACTCTGCTTCTTTCATGATATTTTTGAATGTTTGGATACAACGTTCAACGATGCCATTCGACTGGGCATTAGTTGGACTGGAAGTTACATGATTAATTTGTCATTATTCCACAAAAGCTCCGAATGCTTCTGAACTGTAATTAGTTCCATTATCAGATTTAATAATTTTTGGAATGCCATGTCGTCCAAAAATGACTTCAATAGGTCAATAGTATGCTTACTGTCTAATTTTTCTAGATGTCCTGTTTCAATAAATTCAGGGTAATAATCATTTACAATTGAGTCGTTTTTTTCTTTTATTTGACAAACATTTGTGCCCACTGTTTCCCAAGGAGTTCCAGTAACTTCTGTTTGAATTAATGATTCATTTGAGTTTGATTTTCTAAAATTTAAGCAAGTATCACAATTGTTTACAAAGTTTTCAATGTTTTTGTTTATGTTGGGCCAATATAAACATTGTCTTGCTCTTAACTAGCACTTTGTGATACCAAAAAATGTATAATCTTCAGCATTTTATTCCTCAGTTTGTTGGGTATAATAATTTTATTGTTTTTGTCTATGACCCTAAAATGGTTGTAACTCATCTGACAATTTATTTTTACTAGTTTCATTATATTATTTAGATTTTTGTCATTTTTGGTTTATTTCTAAAATTCACAGGATTTTCTCGATTAAATCAATCTTGGCTTCTATTTCATTTAAATAAGACTTGTCTTTATCAATTACTTCATTTAGGAAATTGTGACTCAAACAATCGGCAATAAATAACTATGAGACTGATTTATAAGTAATTTCTAAGTCGAACAACTGTAACTTAATCAACATTCGTTGTACTCTTAAGGGTGTATTAATCAATGGTTTTTTGTGAATTGAAACTAGTGGTTTGTGGTAACTTTCCACAGACACGAGTACACCCAAACAGAACTGCAAAAAGCTCTTTTTATATCTGAGCGTAATTTTTCTCTGTTTCTGTCAGCACCCTGGAGACATAAATACCCGGTGAATTGTCTTGCAGCAGAACTGCAGCTGAACCATTTTTTGAGAAGTCGACTGACAATATGACTGGTTTATTTACGTCATAATACTGTAACACAGGAGTTGACGATAACACTTGTTTTTTAATTCATTTAGGATTTCAGTATGACTTTCTTCCCACAAAAAAAACTGCCTTTCTATTCAGCAACTGTCTCAGATAAATCGTTAATTCAGATAAATTAGGTACAAATTTTGAGATATAAGTGATCATGCCCCAGATCTGCTCAAGTTCCTTTTTGTTCTTAGGCAATGGCATTTCATTCATACTTTTTATTTGATCATTGTTAACTTTTACCCCCATACTACTCATAACATGACCAACAAACTTTATTTCAGTTACATTAAATGTACATTTACTTTTATTGAATTTAATTCCCTCTTGTCTGGCTCTGTTCAGAACAGCTACTAAATTTTTATCATGTTCTTCTTGATTTCTTCCAAAAACCAACAAGTCATCTTGTATATTTGACCTTCGAGCACTTCAAAAATATATTCAAATTGCTTTTGGAACACTTCCGGTGCAGATGAAATCCCAAACGATAGCCTGGAGAACATGTATCTCCCAAAAGGTGTTGCAAAAGTGCATAACCTCTTACTGGATTCATCCAATTGTATTTGGTAGAATCCTTGGTTTGCATCTAATAGGCTAGGATTTCAGCTAGGATTTCTGCAATTGTGGGTATTTGATAATATTCCCTTTTAATTGGCAGATTTAGATTTACCGGATCAAGACACAGTCTATTTTTTCCATTGGGTTTTCTTACTATTACCAATGAATGTAATGGATGTACTACTACAATAAAATCTAGGTGGAATTCATTTTTGTTTGAAAGAATATAGTTCAATGTGCACTATCCCAGCTGGTTTATGCTGCTGCAGTTATAGTTATTGAGTTTAGTGTTTGTTTTTTGTAGTTTAACATAAGGGATTTGTTCAAAAACACGCTTTGGTATAATGTTAGCTTGAGCTCCTGTATCTATCTTAAATTCTATAAATATATTTGGCTTTTTACAAACTTGTACCAACTCTATCCAGTCTTCTGTTTCATTACTATGTACTGAAGCTATGAACAATGAGTCTCTCTTCATCTTCTAGTTCTCCTTTCTCGCCTTCCGCTGTTACTTCTTTCACTTGTTTCTGTCCACATATTTTAGCAAAGTGATTCAGTTCATTACACTTCTTGCAGGTCTGCTGGTACGCTGGACATTTATTCACTTTATGTGAATAGGAGTGTACATCTCGTACAGTCCTCTATGATCTTATCAATGTTTTGATGTGTATCTTCTTGCTTCTTTCCTCTGTGGTTTTTTCTGTGCTTATTTATTTTATTTATAGCTATCGCCCCGTTTGATATGTCCTTAATGTGACTCTGTTGCTAAAGTAGCTCGACACATAACGACACATTTATTTAGTGTTGAATTAGGCTTAATTCAGGTTAAATTAGAGCTCTTCTCTCAATTTCATGTGTTCTATGCCACATATAATACGATCTCTTATGAGTATATCTTTTAATTTTCCAAAATCACATGAACTTGCAAGAGATTTCAATTCTGTAACATAGTTGTCAAACCCTTCTCCAGTTTTTTGATTTCTCATAAAGAATTTGTGAATTGAATACATCTGTTACATTGACTTTGGGCACAAAATAATCATTGAACTTGATAACCAGCACTTCAAATTCATCAATTTCATTTGGTTTCAACTCAAAAGTGTTCTACACATCTAGGCCTTCTTGTCCCATGCAGTGTAGTAATGAATTGCACTTTCTCTTGTCATCAGCTTCCGTTAACCCAGCAGCCACCAGGAATACCTCAAAAGATTGTTTAAACTTCGGCCATACGTTGGCGGCTTTTGTTTCTCGTCTGGTTGAGATACGTTGAAGACACCTTCATAATATGGAACCATGGGAATACTTAACTAGACGCCTTGCTGAGACACATCAACAGCGTAAGACTTTCCATCACTTTCACAATGGAGAAGAGAGTCCACAACGAATTGTCATTCTTAGACGTACTGGTGAAGAGGACCGACAATAAATGGGAAACATCTGTATACCATAAACCCACTCACACGGGACAGTATCTGAACCACGAATCCAATCACCACCAATCGACTCGAAGATCTTCAACGGAATAGCTACTCGAAAGCGATGGTAGAACAGATTTTGACTAAGAGACAGCAAGAGCCTCGCAAGGAAGGGAAGCCGTCACAACCAGTACTTCACTTCCCTTCATCAGACGATTTTTGGGAAAGGATAAAAACAATTGGATCCAAGTACAACATCAGAACCTACTTCAGATCCGAAAACACTATCCGTAGCAGCCTCACGAGAACCAGATCACCTAATGCAGACTGCGATTCCAAGAATTGCATTTACCGGATACGCTGTGAGTGCGGACATTCCTATATCTGTGAAACTAAGAGGTCATTGAAAGTTTGCATTGCCACTGTGTGTGTTTTTTACACATACGGCGAGGGGAAACCAGCAAATCAGAAATAG